TCTCTGCAGGGAGAAGATCAGGAAATGAGTGATCAGCGGTATGTGATTGTTCAGTTCTCGATCAATAGAGCCGACGCGTGACAGCTTCAGTGTCACACGTCAGCTCTAATTATAAGGATGAGTGTATTTCACTCAGTTGTTCTTTAAAGGGACACTAAACTCAGGAGTTAAACCTTAAAAATACATTCAAGTACCATAACTATGAACAACAATGTATCTTAGTTGTGTATCACTCGGCTTTAGATGCTCAAATCATCTCTGAATTGGTGCTGACTAGGGCACTAATACCAGTTTTTTGGTATTGAATACGAGTACTGATATGCCGATACCGAATACCGATACTAGTATCGGTATCGGTGCATCCCTAGTGCTAACACTGTCATTCCTTCTGGAGGGTGACTACTTTTGTTCCCCATGGTCCCTGTGTGTGTTGTAAAGTAGTCACCGCTCCAAGCTCTGTCCCATAATGATTGAATATTGGTCTAGCGCTATGGGTCTCCCGGTGTATATTAAAGATGTATATTTTAATATACACCGGGAGACCCATAGCGCTAGACCATTATTCAATCAACCTTTGTGGCTTACCCAGCCAAAGTTTTAGCAGCTTGTGGCTAATCCGGTTCTTTCTCTTTATTGTTAGTTCGTTCTATAGCGCAGAACACTCATTTTTTTCATCTGTCCCATAATGGACTACAATCTCGATACAAATATCACAGGAGCGAGAATAGAGCGGTGACTACTTTACAACACACACAGGGACCATGGGGAAGAAAAGTAGCCACCCTCCAGAAGGAAGGACAGTGTCATCACCAACTCAGAGATGATTTGAGGATCTACAGCCGAGTGATACACAAAGAAGATTTTTGCTGATAGTTAAGGTACTTGAATGCATTTTAAAGGTATAACTCCGGAGTTTAGTGTCACTTTCAGTTTTTTTCAATTCTTCTGTTTGATGCTTTAATACTTAGGAGTCGCTGACTTAGAACAAGCATGTAGGTGGTCACAAATTCAGATCTCCATACCTGTTCTGGGTCAGTGACTTACAGAAATATGGGCTTACTGGAAGTTACCTGCCAACTTTAATAGGTAGGTTTCCATACTTATACCTTTTATTAGATTTTTTTACACCCATACTTATAATTTTTTAATTATTTTATTAGATTTTTTTACAACTATACTAATACCTTGGTAAACTGACAAAGGGGTCCTAAGGGAAGACTTTGCTATTGACAGTATTGTTAAAATTCTAGTTACATAATCCCAACACACTTCATAACTTACCGAACTATTAATATATTTGTTTTCTTCACTGCTCTCACTGCTTATGAGTTTCAGTAGCGTTACAGGCAACAATTAAATTAATTCTAGCAATGACACAGAAAGTTCTGTTTTAGCGATTCTGCTACAGCGTCAGAATTATCCATGTGACATGAGCCTAAGGACCTAATTCCTGTTTATGAAAGAAAGTTTAAATAAAACGTATAAATAATGCCAAAAATATAATATAT